TCACTGACTTCTCTAAACATTATTGCCCTCATCAAACCCCCTGCCTTTTGATTTCAGCAAAGGACCTGGTCTTCTCTGCTGAGAAAATCAATGCTTTCAAACACAGAGTTCTTTGTAGCAGACAAAGTATCCAGCATGCTGAGTTTGTGTCGTATTTCTAAAGGAACCTCCTGGAAGCCTAGAAAGTCATCTTAGGAACAATCCAACCCCAAGCATGTTGTGAGGGCTGTGTAAATACCCCCACCTGAACCCAAACCTCTACTAGCACAATGCATTCATGATGCACAAAACCATGGGCCAGCAGTTCTGTTTCTAGTATGACTGCAGGTGACACTTCTCTACTTGCTTGGCAAAACTTGGAGTCCACATGTACCTACCTCCTCACATTGCTCCCTTCCACGTTAGCACACCCGAAGAAGCATCTGACCTATGGAGGGTAGAGCACATGCCTGTGCTATAGCAGCAAGAGATGCCAGGAGAATGAGTGCTGGTTTCTACCTTTAGGAGTCAAGATTGATAATGTTGGAAATTTTTCAACTATGTGAGAGGTGTTCCAAGGATGCATGGCAGCTATAGAACATGCTGAACGTCTCCTATCATCTTTTAGCTTTTCATCTCCCTACCTGCGAGCTTATATACTTTCAAGTCCATCTATGTCTCCTTTGCTCCAGTCACAGTGTCTTCAATTTCTGAAGGTCATCCTCCTTATTCCTGTACTTCACATATCTATTGGGGCTTCTTCTGAGTACTATAGCTGCCATATCCTCTCTTTTATATACTCCAAATCTTTATTTTGACAGATATTCTCAGTCAACACAACCTTCTCCCTTCCCAGAAGTCCTCCCCTAGACTCCCTCAAATTAGTATCATCTGCTTTTCAAACTAACTTCTTAAAATAATCACTTCCATTTTTCATCTACTCTTCACCACCAACTCATTGTTATCAAACTCTGGCCCATAACTCAAGAATCCCAACCTGGTGCTCCTGTGATTCTGCTCTGACCGTGGCAGATCATTCATCAAATGCGGCGGCCATGAATAAACCCTTTTCCCACAGTGCCCACTTGCTGCTTGTAACCCTGCAACACACACTTTTTCTCCAACCTTGCAACTCTTAGCTTCTGTACATTCCCACTCCCCTAGTCTTCTTTAAGCTTTTGATCAGTCATTTTCTGCTCTTCTACTTTAAATGTTTGTTTCTTAAAGGTATTACCCTTCAGGCTCTGACTCCTCCGATTTTAAAGATTCTATGACCTCTGCTTGGTGACCTCATCTACTTGTGTTTTCCAAACCCACACATATAACCATACCCTTCTGTACGTGTCATCCAGACTTCTTCCTTAAGGCTGACTCCTGGATAGTAAAATACATGATGGACACGTCCACACAAGTGTTTTGCGTGGATAGCAACTCAACCTTTCACCAACAGAGTTGACATTTTCTCTTTTATTCTTGTTTCTTTTAGTTGCTTACATCAACTTGTCCCTCAAGTTATTTCTGCTTCTCTCTCTCCTTTACTATCTCTCACCCCATGTCAATTCTAATCAGCTTGTGTCCATTCTAATGCCTAAATATTTCTTGAATTCTTCATAACTTCTCCAATTTTGCTGCCATTGGTCCAGGGTCTCATCTGTTCTTTTTCATTTCTAATTGGCCTAATCTCCTACAAGCCTCCTTCCCCCCACCACATCTTTTCCTCTTTACATCAATCTTACTCATAGCAAAAAAAGGGAGTATTAAAAATATTCAGCCAATTAGATTATTTCATCTCAAAACGCATTACTAAGAGAGTAGACTCAAACTCCATATGCTCACAGTGAGCTTTTCCCTCCCTTGCCTGCTTCATCCCCTCCCCTGTCTCACAGTTCTGGCTTCAGAAACACTAAATAATTTATCTCGTACCTCCGTGCTATTTTTGGCTACCTGCCTTTGTTCAGTGACATCTTTTTTTGGCTAGAATGCGCTTCCTTTTTCCACTTCCATCCTGCCAGCTGCACTCCACAAGACAAAAACTACAGCACTACCTCATTCTTTCTCACCTTTTAGCACTCAGTTCAGGCCTTGCCTCTCCCACAAAGTGTTTCCTTATGTCTCTTCTCCTCCCCTATAAAGTTATACAACCTTTCTGAGTGCTCTCCCAGCACACCTGTTATGTACTCTTAGAAAAACTTGTTCAATATTTTATTAAGATTCAGTTATAATGGGTTTTTATGCTATAAATGTCTTCAAAATAAAATTTGTTTTATTCTTTACTGTAATCACAAATTCTTATAAAGTACCTGGCATCCAGGAGACACTTTGTTAAATTTTGACAGATCAGTGAAATAACACTTATCATTAAAAATTCTGGGGTTAGGTCTTGATGCTAAGATGCTAACCCTTTCATTGTCCCTTATCATTCTGATAGCAAATGAAAATGGCTCTGCCACTTTATGATCTTGTGGTTAAGACTGCAAGACCACAAGAAGACGGTTCTCATAGCACTCTAAAAGCCATTTACAGTTACACCAGCAGTATCAGAAGCATGACACAGTAAAGACTAGCCTTTGTCTAAAATTAAGAAGCAGCTCGAACACTGGCCTGGGGCCCTCACTGAATAATCAACGCATTTCCAAGGTTGGGTGGCAAAATAAGAAGGAAGATTACACCAAGGAAAGCCAAATATGTTAAGTCTTACAACCTTTGGGCTGAAATAAGAGTGAATGGGAGTTAAAAGAGCAGTTGTTAAAATACAAGGTAGGGGAATCACTAGGAAGGGAGAGTGCAATAAATAATGCAGAGCAGTAAATGTGCTTCCTTTAGACATCAAGAGTGAAAGGAGTTCTTTTGCATGCAGTGATGACAGCACAACTTTAGAGGTTTTCAGATTCTTTGAATTAACATGATCAGACCTTACATGGTCTAACCTTTAGTTGGGGGGTTATTTCAAAATCCTCTTAAGGATAATCACAAAGTACAGCTACAGACACATTATCAGAATACCTGTGGACCAGGTGCAATTCTTGAGGGCCCATTTTGCTTCTTCTTTTCTAAAAATAGAACAATGAAGGCCACTTTACCTGCCACTAAACAAATTGTTGTCAGACCTCTAAAATAGGCAGTGAGCTGGGCATGGTGGTGTGCGGAACATACACTTGTTATCCCAGAACTCGGGAGGCTGAAGCAGGAGAATTGCCTCGAGTTCTGGGCCAGCCTGAGCTTCATAGCAAGTCCAGGCTGGTCTGAACTACATAGCAAGGCCCTGTCTCAGAAAAGAAAAAAGAAAAAAAAAAAATAGGCACTGAGCCAGAAATCATAAGTTATTTATTTATTTAAATCAAAGAAAATGTTGAATGTTTTATTAATCATTTGTGTTCATGTGGGCCCTGGGGGAAATTGCTTTATTCATGGGACCTGGACTTTCAGAGCAAATGTCACTGGGTAAAAAGACTTTTTCTCTTTTGTTAATAGAGTGCGCAGCCTGTAGACATGATGACAAAACGAAAGAAATGTGTTACAGTGCAGAAATGTAAGTCTTTTGGACGCAAATGTTAGGTTTGGATTATAAGTACACGACTGGTCTCTATTTAGATAAAAGGGGCAGGTAGGTTATTTTTATCTACGAGCTGTATAGCTTGTGATGAGCCACACACTCTTTCAGTTCACCCATCGGGCCTATAATGGAGAGAGCCCTTTGGTTCTCTTTCTGGGACATCCTGTGGAATGATGTACATTCTGGTTCCTGCTATTCAGTTGAACTTGTTGGAAACCCCCAATGGAACTGCTGTCTTCTGTCTGGGGCAGACCTGCTGGTGGCCTGAGTATTGTCCTCTCCTTTCTGCACTGTCTACACGCACTACCTCCTACCTGCCATCATGACAAGGCCTGTAATTCTACATTTGTCTCAGCTAAAGAGACTCCCTGCTCCCCCAAGTGGGTCTCGGTGTGACAACAGGCAGCCTTGGGACCGCTTCTATCTCCCACCATCTGGAGCAGCTGTGCTCTTTGTCAAGGATTTAACCTCATTAGAGAACAAAAGACAGCCTTCTGCAGCATCACTGTTGGAAATAATCATTAACCAAAACACCTGCGCTTCCAGAAATGAGTCCTTACATGCTGGGCTCTCTTCTACAGAGGACTCGTAATCAAAAGATATGACATCTGGGAACAGAACAAAGAACAACCAAAGAACAGAAAGAGGAATGAAAATACCTGCAGGCTCACCCTTGGCTTTAACAGAACAAGCAGGATCCAGAGCACAGCCACTCCTTTCTCTAGTCCACTTTCCTTATCTACAAAATCAAAGACTTAAAAGGAAAGAAGACTAAAAATCCCCAAACTCTACAGTTTCTGAATCTTGAGAAGCAGGCAACTCATTATCCTGAGACTGAGGAAATGTGGTTAAAAGCATACGCAATAAACTTCTCAAGGTTCACCAAACCATCAGTACGTATTTATAATAAAGAATAAATGAGGAAGGTCTTACAAATGGTAATAGCCTGTTTTTTCCAGTCCATGGACAAGATGTTTCCCATTGTCAGTCTAGTTCTCTTTCCTCTCACAAGTCAGGTACCCAAAGGTTTAAGGTTTTAGTGTGGAATGATTAAAGACAAGAAATTCTGGTTGTGTCAGTACGACTAGAGGTGTGAGTGTGCTCAGAATCATGTAATTTTTTGCTCTTTATTCTTAAATGTCAATCTGAAGTCCAAAAGCAGGCTGGTTATACTTAGCATTTGCTGTGCTTTGGATGTTGTTTGTCCACCAAAGGTTCATGTGCTAAAAGTGTGGTCTCCACTGCGGCAGTGTGGAGGTAGTAGGACCTTTAAGGTAGGACCTTTAAGGTAGGACCTTTAAGAAATGTTGCTCTAATGGAATACAGTAGGCCCTGGAGGCTCCACCTTGCTGGATGACTAACGCTGTCTTGTGGGAGTGGACCACGTCTCTGCGGATTAGTTCTCTGCAGAGCAGGCTGTTATAAAGTGGGCCATGCCATATACTTGGCCTCTTCTACATCTGGCTGATCCTTTTTCTGCTTCTCCACCGTGTTGTGACACATCCCAGGGGTCCCAGCAGGATGCCAGTGCCATGCTTTTAGGATCATCATACGTTAGTAACTAATGAGAAGCTGTGACGGAGAAAGCTTTGGAGACCAGAGCCCTTGGTGAGATTCCAGCACCTGAGCACCCTTTCCAAATTCATTGCACATTCTCAGCTTGGCCTCAAATACTTCCCAAGTAAGTGCTGCAAGTGCATGGGCACCCAAGTGGAGCTGAACTATTTGAATTATTTTAAGTTCCTGGGATCTGTTCAGCCATTTAAACAAATGTTCTGCATGTTAGTAGGTTCTAAACACAGGAACTTGGTAGGGGAATACATTTAAAAAAAGGGAGACAAGGTTTGTGCCTTCAGGTTTTGTACCCCGGGGGTGGGGGTGGGGGTGGGGGTGTAGCGTCCTCCAACTTGAACTATTAAAGATTTCAGTAGATTTCTACCACAGCAGGAGACCAAGATTATATAGGCAAAAAGATCACCCAAACTTTAAATGTCCTGCTCACTTCCAAAAGTGGTTATCTGGAAAGGCCATAGGCCACAGGGAATACTCATGTCACAGGACTGATTTAAGTGCTCAAAATCCAAGTGAGGTGGCATCTTTCTTCATCTCTCTGGGACTATGCCCACCTCTTCGCTCACTGCCTGGCTCTATTATTTCTGTTGTGTATTGTAAATTTTGGAATTAAAAAATAGAGTGAATGTTACATTTTATTACTCTTATTTTAGGAGTTATCTGAGGACTGAGACTTGTGTGGTTCTAGACCACATCACAAGTGTGAGTGCACTGCAGATACAGGTCTACCTGCAGACAGAAATGATACAGGAAGTGGATGTCACGCATGCTCACCTTGACTCTGTCACTCCTCATCCTTTTCTTTTCTCTGGCTGCTTTATACAATTGGTCATGGCCCTGAGAAGAAGGGTTCAGAGACCACTGTTCCATGTGAACTGATGAATTCTTTAAGAAACAATTCAATAACGCATGGTGGAGTAATCCCTTATATTGTTTACTATATGTCAAGCTCCAAATGCCTCATGACTTTGAATTTATTTAACCCTCACCCTTGTATCACAGATGAGGAAACAGGCACTGTCAAGCTTACTTGCCTATGATTACACTGTTTAAGAGTCATAGATTTTGGATATTAATCCAGTTGCTTGAGTTCCAAGTTTGTATCTTTCACCATTACACATTCTGCCTTCCTGCAGTGAAAAGTAGGTTGGAAGTCTCCTTTGTCACACTTGGCATGCCTCTTGAGTTTATATCAAGCAAGTTGCAGTCCTAAGGTATGCTTGGCATCCACAGAATCTTCCATCTGCAGTGTGAGCCTCCCTGACAAGAAGCAACAAGCATGTCCTGAGCTACTCATGAGGTGAGCATCTGGCTGGAGCTTCCTCCTTCCCAGCCAGGTTGCCTGTCTGGAAGGAGAGCTGTCTAACTGGCTTTTCGACTTACATAACATAGGGAGATAATCTTCTTATGGCATCCTGTATTTTTCTAACTTCATTTACAATAGTGCTATGTAAGTGGTTATGAAATACGACTCGAAAATCTGCTTCTTTGATTAAAATACTTAGAAATGTAATTAATGGCACACATTTTAAAATTTATTTATATTTATTTTAATAATGGCATAAATTTTAAAAAGTCATTGCATAATACATTGCCTTCATCAAGTGTACTTCATAGCATGGATTGTTGAGTAGTCAATCAGCAGAATGTTTTTGAGATGGAAATCATTATTAGAAAAATCACAAACATATTTATGTAATCATCTCCAGTTCTTTAACCTTGCTGCAGTTTAAGTCTTTCCTAGCTATTCTTTGTTGCACATGTATACATCTTGTCTCTATATCTTGGTTTTGAATTCCTTAAGGACATACACACAATAAATGCAAAAACTAATAAATATCATTATTAAACAGAATGGAAAATATACAGATAATACACCTTCATCAGGTGCTAAAATTCAAAACTTAAATGATGAAGAAAAGTTCATAATTCATTTTGGGGACAAAAATTCCCCTTTATTCCCCCAGGGGCATAAACTTTCTGTTTTAAAGTTAGAATCAAGTGGCTCATCTTTGTGACTATAGTGGTATGATTATTTTTAAAAGGTATCATTAAAAAGATACTGAAGAATAAATAACATGAGTTTCAAAGAGAGGCCACATCTCATAAACAAATATGCTGGTTTTATCACAGTAGAATTTAAAATAAAGTTCTCAGGGACTGTACTTTTATTTTATTATTCTTACAAAGAAGGCAGTTTCTGTTCACACTTTCCCACCCTGGTGGAGCCGGCATCTGTGAGTATAGTGCGGAAAGGCAGCCTAAACACAGTCTAGCTCCTGTCTGAGGTCTAGAAAGGGACATAGCTGCAAATAAAACCTAAATCTCCAAGCTAGATGCATCAATGATCACCTTCTATTACTGAATACAGAGCATAGGTTTTAATTCTTGAGATTCTGCCAAACTTAGACAGAATCACAATAGTTTTTTGCTATTAAACAGCGCTTTTCATATAACTACTCTTTAACTTGGAGACTGGTGAATACACAACCTCGGTGAATGAGCACTAAAAGACAGCTGTGGGGAAGAACAGGGGCAAAAAAATCACAAAGGCAGCACATGCTGTGTGAAACTCCTCACGAGGGGCCAGTGAGAAGAGTGATGTGGAACAAACCGTGCTGAAGGTGAATCCAGGTTTGGTGGTGTTATGGTTGAAACATTGTGTCAACTTGGGGAGTCTAGAGGTTTGGCTAAGTGACTTAGCAGGAAGCCA